CGTGATCTTATGATTTCAGGTTTACAAGATGTAGTGAGCAATATGAACATCATGAGCTGTCCTGTAATAAAACCAGTTTTCAGAAAAAAGTGGGCCTCTTCTTGTTATAAGCTTTGAACCTGATTTCTTACAAAATGCTGTTTTTTCTTTTCAGTGGTAATAGTTATTGTTAGCAGCAGTGCTTGATCCTCTGATGCTTAAATTGTCAAAGTTCTAGTAGCATATATGTCAGTTGCAGGAAATAACTGATCACATTATTGCAGGAACGCAGCGCCTTCCTCGCCTTGTAGGTCTTGCCAAGTCTCTTGAAATGATGCTGGTAAGCTCTAGCTTGCAACTTTTGGCAGGATAGCTGGGGAAAACTGAGTTTGGGTGTAATTCATATTCTACTTCTCTTCCAATCAGATGTCAAAGCCTGTAAAAGGGGAAGAAGCTCTTAGTTTAGGGCTTGTGGATGAAATAGCTGCACCAGATCAACTGCTGGCTACTGCTCGTCGCTGGGCACTTGAAATTTTGGACCGAAAAAGACCTTGGGTTTCTAGCCTTTATAAGACTGATAAGTTAGAATCTCTTGCTGAGGCTAAGGAAATACTGAAGTTTGCACGAGCTCAAATACGTAAGCAGGCTCCAAATCTCACACATCCATTGGTTTGCATTGATGTTGTGGAGGAAGGTATTATTTCAGGTCCTCTTGCTGGCCTTTTCAAGGTATTTATCTGCTTTCAATTCTCTTTTCCTGATGCTTAAGTTTCTCAGCAATATGTAATGTCAGTGAATTTCTCATATTGGCAGGAAGCTGAAGCATTTCAAGTTCTCCTTCACTCAGACACTTGTAAGAGCTTGGTCCACATTTTCTTTGCTCAACGTGGAACGACAAAGGTAAATAATTTGGTAGCTGTCTAGAGGTTTTTATTGTGATTTGGATAATAACCATCACTGACATTGTAGGCTAGCTGCTCTGAATCGGCTTTTGCTACTTTGATACAATAATGTGATTCCATGGGACTTTGTAGAATCAATTGCTCTAGCAGTGAGAAGTTACCCTGATATTTGTTTACTTACATTTCTTTGAAATAGTCTGACTTTCATTTCTACTTGGATAATCTAATAAGTTAAACTGCATCACAACTTGAACTTCAGTTAGGCATGATTCTCAATTTACTAAATGTTATCTTTCGCTCTCTAGGTAATGCATCAGATTTAACCAATTTAAATTCTCTGTCATCATGAAGTTAATTCTCCAGATACTGAAGTTTGAAAGATTACTGCATTCTAGTCTAAAGTAGACAGCTTTTTTCGTATTTCAGCCTAAGCTATGATTGACTATATTTTAAGTGACCATATCTCCAACTCCATGCAGGTTCCAGGAATCACTGACCGAGGTTTGGCTCCTAGAAGGATAAAAAAGGTTGCAATTCTTGGTGGTGGCTTAATGGGTTCTGGAATAGCAACAGCGCTGATCCTCAGTAATTATCCTGTGATCCTAAAAGAAGTCAATGAGAAATTTCTACAGGCTGGGATTGATAGAGTGAGAGGTGATGACAGATTTTTTACCTTTGGATTAGTTCATGCATGTAAGACTTGATAGGGAACAAATTTTTTTTTTTTTTTGGTTAAATACAGCCAATTTGCGAAGTCGAGTCAAGAAAGGGAAAATGACTCAAGAGAAGTTTGAGAAGAATCTTTCTCTACTCAAAGGTGTCCTTGATTATGATAGCTTTAGAGATGTGGACATGGTCATAGAGGTAAAGCATATGTATAAATTGAGGTTTTGCAGTTGCATCCTGCACCCCATCCCCTTCTCTGCATCATCCTGTGGTTCCAAAAATTCAATCTTGTCTGATTACTTCATGCTATTAATGTTGAAATGCAGGCTGTGATTGAGAATGTATCTTTGAAGCAGCAAATATTTGCAGATTTAGAGAAGTATTGCCCTTCTCACTGCATACTTGCAAGTAACACATCGACAATTGACTTAGATCTGATTGGTGAGAAGACCAGGTCTCACGATAGGATCATTGGAGCCCATTTTTTCAGGTAACCTTTAGTTTGCTCGTACACTAGTTTCTCTTCCCTCCTAATTGGTATTGTTGGTTGTGATTTAAACTTTTTGTATATTGTTTAATGCAGTCCAGCTCATGTTATGCCTCTTTTGGAAATTGTTCGTACCCAAAAGACATCTCCTCAAGTAATTGTGGACTTGTTAGATGTTGGGTAGAAGATAAAGAAAACCCCAGTGGTTGTTGGAAATTGCACTGGATTTGCTGTCAATAGGATGTTTTTCCCTTACACTCAAGCTGCCCTATTGCTTGTTGAACGTGGTACGGATGTGTACAAGATTGATAGAGCAATCAACAAATTTGGAATGCCAATGGGTCCTTTCAGGTAAGAGATATTAAATGTAGCTGTTTTGTATCCTTTAATCTCATTACTGATGCCGAAGGCGACAATTTACTAAAATGGTGGTGGCCTCGCGGCTTTAATGTGTCCGTGTAGATTGTGTGACCTGGTTGGATTTGGTGTTGCAATCGCAACCGGCTCTCAGTTTGTCTTAAATTTTCCTGAGAGAACTTATAAGTCGATGCTTATTCCACTCATGCAAGAAGATAAGAGAGCAGGTAAGCTCACTCGTTTGCTGGAGCTCTTGATAAATGGCTCACAATCTAATATCATGTTGCAAGTGTTGAACATGTTTAATCGGCCATACACTTGTCATAGGTGAAACTACTCGAAGAGGGTTCTATGTATATGATAACAAACGCAAAGCCAGCCCTGATCCAGAAATAAAGAAGTATATTGAGAAATCAAGAGAGATGTCTGGTGTTAAGATTGACCCGAAGGTTCTCTCTCTTTCTCCCTCTGTGTGTGTGTGAAAAACCACCTTCATTCCATGGCAATGTCTAATTGATATATGCGATTTGAACCTTTTAATGAAAAAAGTTATCTACCAACTAATTGTGGTGATTTCCTACATCCAGTTGACAAAATTATCAGATAAGGATATTGTGGAGATGATATTCTTCCCTGTGGTAAATGAGGCATGCCGAGTACTTGCTGAAGGGATTGCAGTCAAATCTGCTGATCTTGACATTTCTGCCGTGATGGGAATGGGATTCCCACCTTACAGGTTTGAAATCTTTTACTGATTTGAAACATTTTCCCTATATTAGATAAGTATTGCAAAAGAAAAGTCAAAAAATAAAAATAAAAACTCTGCAACACAAAGGGGTCTATATTAAAAACTATCAATGTTCTAATGATGTTATCTTCAGTCAGATTACCGACCTAATTGCGTGTTAACTAATCAGGGGAGGAATTTTGTTTTGGGCTGATACTTTTGGGTCCAAATACATTTGCTCGAGATTGGAAGAATGGGCAAATTTGTATGGGGGATTTTTCAAGCCTTGTGCATACTTGGCTGATAGAGCTGCTAAAGGTGCTCTTCTGGTAAGAATTCTCCAGTCAACCCTTGTGTTCAGTGATTAATTCATCCATGTTTGTCAAACGTCTTCAATTACAACCCTCTTCTCCCATCATTTGGGAGATGGGCATGAATGATTGTTTGAACCGTGCAACATTTTGTCAACAAGTTGTAACTCTCGTTATAAGCTAAATGTACAACTTCGCAACAGGGACGTAATTATTACGTGTGGAGATCACACGAGCAGTGACTCAATATCAAACTACAATTGTTGTGAAGTTGTACAAGTTGTTAACGATAAGTTACAAACTTGTTCAAATGGTAGTATTTGGTTTGACAAACGTTCTTGCCCCTTTCCCCTTTTATTTAGCCATCGTTTTTTCTTCCCCAACTCGAGTTAGATCTGTCGATTTCCTATTGTTTCAGCTGTAATCCGGGCTTACATTTTCAATTACAAACTTGTCAATGTCAAATTGGCCATTTCATGCTCATTCCAGATGCGCACACGCACACACCCCCTAGATTTTTTTGACACGTCCATTCTGGTGGTTGTGACTGGTGAAATTAAAAAATCTGTTTATTACAGGGTTCAACCTCGGATCCTGCACAGTCCCGACTGTGAGATCAACTTACCTCTCTCGCAAACTGCTCCTCCGGCTCCAGCTGATGTCTTTGTCTGTATGTTTCTTCATGTCTTAGTATCTAATGAGCTTAATAATGTGGCGGTGTAATATAAAAATCACTGGCTTTCCAAATAATTAAATACATGGAAGATTTTGATGTATTTAAGGTAGCACATGAATCAATAATGTTCGTGACAGTTGTTGTTGTCGAATTTCTCATTCAAATTGGCCACCATTTCTTGCAAATTCTCACGTGGTCCAGCAAATTACGAGCAGTGTGGCTCTTTAGCTTTCTAGCATTCTGATGTGGAGTTGATTCAGCAGTTTTCTGCAATCACGTGGATCGAGTAAAACAAGACCCAGAAGTGCCAGGAAGTTTCTTTCTCAGTCTAGAATTGCCGTACTCGAAAGTTGGTCCGAGAACTTCCCGGAACTTTTGTTGTTTTTTTCCCCCTTAGAACCTCCTTGAACCTTTTTCTTTTTCTTTTTTTCTCCGAGGACAACTCCAGGCCTTATAGGGGGAAAAAGGGCCGAACCAAGAATCTTATACTCACTTGACTAATATTCTTAGGATTAAGTTGAGTTTTGGAACCTCAAAACTATTATTCACAGTTTAGAAAATTGCGCATATTGACCGTGCTCTATAAACTGCGTTATTAAGGGTGCTTGGGCCGCTGCCATAATATGGCAAAGAACAAAGAGAAAAAGAAACTGAATTGCTTGGCATGGTGTGTATGTTCACAGGTGGAATAGTTGATTGATGTAAATTATTGTTTGTTCTAACCAAAAGGCGAACAAGTGGAATACTTGATTGATGAAAAATTAACAATTAGTATTATACTTGAAAAGCTTTTTTTTTTTTTTATTGAGAAATCTTGAATTCAAAATCCGTTATTTACAATTATTCTCGTTTTATCATCCTATCCGATCCTCCTCCATGAAAAAACCATTCATTCCGGCTTAACTCGCAAACAAAAATGTTGCAGCGTTTTCACTTCATCCAATGGTTGTGCGACACCAACATGAACGCTTACGAATAATGCAAGTCACAATCTCATAATGCAAGCTCGAGGTCTTGAGCCTGACGCCATTTTCACCGATCGTTTACAGCTAATGCATATGTCTACTCGAGTCATTCTACAATCACTGTTGAGTCATACTGCCATGATTGGTCCCAATTGGCACTATGATTCTGCTACTATAATAATAAAATATAAACCAGCCTCAAAAGATTTTGCTCTGATTCCATGGTGCTTCTTTAAAGGCCTTGGTTTCTTTTTCATGCCTGTGAAGTTGCAGAGGATTAGAAGTCCATCAGAAGAGTGCATGAACAAGGCTCAGGGCGGAGGCTACATTAAAGTCATCTTCTAACCAAGCGAAATTGGATACTTCAGGTAAGCATTAATATATTTTGCTTAGTCATTAATTACCAGCGTGTGACGAGGATGCAAGTAAGAACCAGATAAGGGATTAGTGAAAGAGCCTTAGTTTGATATCTAATTTTGTTACCCTTATGACCAATACTATCGTGTAAAGTTGATGCTGATATAGGTGTTTGCAAACTTTGGATCATTATTTAGATGCAAAAGTCATGTATCAAACGTTTTCATTTCCACACGTATATATGGGAAGACTTAGATTTTGATCGCAACATAAAAAGTACTCAGTTTTGGTAGTGTTCTCTAAAATTATGGTAAATTCCTCTCCTGTATAAATATTTTTATCGTAAGTTTGATATCAATTTAGATGGTTCCGTGCTGTAATACACGAGCTTATATCTAGTTAAGAGTATGGTCTGTCAAAACTTAATGATTGGCAGAAGACGGAAGGTATCATGGATTAATGGAGCTATTGACAATTAGACAATTCGGTCTGTCAAAAATTAATGATTGGCTGAAGACGGAAGGTATGGATTAATGGAGATATTATTCACATTGCAATCATGAGTTCACACAATTATTCAAGTAACTGTAGTGGTAGTGGAAGCAACTTTTCAAGTCTGATTTTCTGCTATATGTAAAGAAGAAATGTACAGACACTGTCAAGAACCAATGATGTTTCTTTAACTCAGTGAATGAAAGTATGATCTTACTCTACTAGTCTGTTATGTACCATAATCATGTAATCTGAAACTTTTATAATTCAACAATAAATACTGCTGTTTTACCATATCTTTATGGTATGTATCTAACATCTGAAACAGTCAGTAAACTGACGTCTCATTTGCACTTCGACGGGATATTCAATTGTTTAGCCAAATGTTTAGCCCTGATGAGGCTGTCTCTCTGAGGAAACAATTCCTTCCTGTGTGTTAACAAATGCCCTTCTTGAAGACAAATGCGAATTATTATATAGCTCCTGAATATTATTTAATTCCATCCTGTGTGTTTGCAGTTTTGACCTTCTTGAATTCTTCAACGTGGGAATTGATGCTTTTCCATGTTTAAAAGTTTTTAAAGACAGAATATGAGTTATTGCAGGTTGAGTGGAGCCTGTATGCATATATTTAAAGTTTGCTGTTTTGGGGGCAATAGACCTTAGGCGAATTGCTCAAATGTGACGAATTTGGAGGCCCGATAAGTGCATGAAACTAAACAATGCTTGTTAATATAGTGATGGTGCAAAGTGTCCTTCTATATTAAAATCCTATTCTTGAATTTCCACGTTAAAGAAAGTTGTGAACTCGATGTTGAATTTTTATGGAAGTTGTGAATTCAGAATTAAATTTTTGGAGAATTTACCAGCCCTAGATTATATCTTTGGGAAGATTGTGAATCTAAACCACATTTTTTGGTGGTTGTGAAACCATGAATCAATAATGTCACACGAACATGTATTTTCTGAAGTCCCTAGATTTGTGATTTTTTTTTTTTGTTGCTCTTGTCCTTCTTAATTTTGAAAGAAAAGGGTTTCAATCTTTTGTCTTTGATTGTTCTTGTTTAAAACACTTAATTAGCAAGTAATCACTCATTTAGGCTTAATCAAAGGATGAGGGGTGGATTAGAATTAACTAAAATTTATAAAATATAAAATTACCATGCATAACACTTTTTTGAGATGTGATGTTTGTAAAAATAATAATAAAAAAAAAGATGACCAAGAAATTCATTAAGGAAATATTCTCAAAAAAAAAAAAAATTCCAAAGATGGCAATCCAAACAACCAATCGCACATGCACATGACTGTGGGAATTAAATGGATATGGAGCATATTTTTCAAGACGTAATTGGCTACCTAAAAGATGTCTTCCTTTGAAGTGTGGATCATGTGCCTATTTTCCATAAATTTGAACTATAGTTACAGCACCTTAAATGTCTTTCTTTTCTTTTTTTTTTTAAAAAAAGTAAACTAAGAACAAGAAAACAAAGCTTTTTTTCCATACAAATCGCTAGTTTGTGAAGTTGCAAGCAAAGCCGCCTCATCCTCTTCGTCTTATAAGCCGTTCTGAAGGCCTTTCTTTTTGTGCGTTTTGGAGTGCTGTCGTCAAGATTTTGGTGGCCTTCACCAAAAATGGAAGGTTTCACCTTCTTCATTGGTATCTTGGGTGAGAATCTAAACTTCTTGTTTCAATTGGCTCATCAGGCACACAACTTTTCATGATATATTGCATGCATTTGAGATCATATCTATTGTGGTTGGATATTCCCAAATTTCTACTTCTCCATCTTCATATATACAAGATAGAAATAATAAAAAATTTCTCCAATTGGGTTTTTTTTTTTTTTTTTTAAAAAAAAAAATTATCTTTTTGGTTGCAGGCAATGTCACGTCAATGCTTGTATTCCTTGCGCCCATGTAAGCTGGCCCTTCTCCAGTTTTTAATTATATATATTCCCTTTTGTTTGTGGGAATTTGGGTGAGAAAATGGTAATCCTGTCAAGATGGAGATTGCTCGCTGATGATGAATATATTGTGATGATTTGCAGAGACACCTTCAAGAGGATAGTAAAGAACAAATCGACGGAGGAATTTGACAGCCTTCCATACATATGTTCGTTGCTGAGCGCATCTCTATGGACGTACTATGGCATTGTACAGCCCAGCGCATTTCTTGTCGGCACAATCAATGCGTTTGGAAGCGTACTTGGGATTGTTTATGTTGGCCTTTTCCTTTTCTATGCTCCTCCAAGCAACAAGGTGGCTAGCTGCAACCATCTTCATCATGATCCATTATTATTACTTTCCCCATCAATCATCATTTCTTTACATCGAATCACCATTACTACTCTCGTTACCATAATTTCTTGATTCTTTGCAGGTTAAAATTGCACTTATTGTAGGGACTTTGAATGTTGGATTCTTGGCGGGAGCGATTTTATTTACGCGACTGGCATTTAAAGGAGAAGCTCGGGTCGCATCCATGGGTTTCTTGGCCGCAGGTTTCATCATTGTCACGTACGCTTCGCCGCTTTCTTCCATGGTAAGAATACTGAGATCATGAAACTTCAAACCATATATATGCAAATCATATTATGCAGATCCTGCTGCAATGGATACTCTCATGAATCTGCCGGAATTTCACTTTCAGAGGACGGTGGTGATGACCAGGAGCGTGGAGTACATGCCTTTTTACCTTTCATTTTTCATCTTCCTGAGTGGGGGCGTTTGGGCTTTGTATGGTTGGTTGATAGGAGATTATTTCGTTTCGGTAAGTTCACTTTCCTCATTTCCACGATTATTAGTCCTAATGGTCGATCAGTTACAATTTCTCAAAGGGCCCCATTTATACACATCCTAGAACCAAAAATAAAGAAAATGAGGATTTTGCTGCTTCTACTTTCAAATTCCTAGAGAAATTCCTCTATTTGTAAAGGTGAAATGAGCAAATTTTTATTGAGAGTTTCAATATGCAGAGAAAAAAATATGCAAACTTTTCAAACGAGTTTGTGTTTAGGAGACGGAGAAAGAAGGAAGAGAAGAAGAAGAATGAAAGTAAATTTGAGTACTCGTTTATTGGTTTTGATATTCGACGAAAGCGCGAGAGATAAAATGATTCATTTTTGTTTCTACGTGTGTTGATTTGACGATGACAAATGACAAATATAAAAGTAACACCAAATAAATTTCTTATTACTCAAGAGATGTAGGGATAATATTCTCTAACTATGAGAGCAACTTCATAAATTTTTATACATAAACTACCCATTTTTGTGGGGTAATATTCCCCACGTTATCTCGCCTCTGTGCTTGTCCCATGCATGCATGCATGGTCGATAATGAAATGCTAGCGACTCTCACTATCTTCCCCCCCTTTTTTTTTTGGTTGTTGCCTGCCACCTTCAAGATTATTGACTAATTAAAAAAGTTAACCTATATTAGACGCAAATGTTGTGCTAATTTCTACGATCTTAACTTTAACCACATAAACCAAGGCCTCCTCCTCGGTTGTAATTTGACATTTTTCGCATCTAAATTATATTTGCAGGTACCAAATGGGACAGGATGTATACTTGGAACAGCTCAACTAGTGCTGTACGGGATATACAGAGACACCAAGCCACCCGCCAGGGACAGCGCCTGCGTCAGCTTCTACGACTTGGAAGAAGGATGGCAGCGTCAGCCCCTTCTGTCTTCGACCCATAGCTTAGTTTCTTCCACCCATAGCTTAGTGAGTTCCACCCATAGCTTATTGGCTTCCGGCCATAGCTTCTTGGAGTCTTGACGGAAAATGTCATGTTTGGATAGCAGATTATTAGGGATAATTTTTTTTTTACTGCAAATAATAAACTATCCAAATTAACTGGTATCAAATATCTACCAATTAGATCCCCGAAGGACGTGCGTGATAGAAGGGGGGCCAGAAAATTTCTCATTTACGTTATATAATTTTTGTTTTCCTTTTTGGCTTTTTAGTTAAACAGTTTTTTTTTTTTTTTTTGGTTTATGGTTTTATAGAGCAATATGTAAACTTTTACATATGTATCTTGATTGCGTCTCAATTAATTAATGGCAAGTTCATACCAAATTTAAATATTTCTTATATATATATATATATATATATATATATATATATATAAGGTGGGAGGAATAGTTTAGTATAAATATTCCACCACAGCGTATATTACTCGAAATTCGACCAGTAATATCACACAATTACTAATATGCACTACGATTATTACACAGTAGATTCAATTGTGATTATCACACAACTACTCCCTCCCTTTTTTAATAACTGACGTTTAAGGTTTTGCACACCAATTAAGAAGAGCTTTTCATTACTTAAATCTGTACACTACTTTTCTTTTGTACCCTAATTAATTACTAGGGTTGATACAAAGAGAGAAACAATAATTACTAGGAGTAATAATTAAGAACCCTGTATTGAAAAAGAGAGATAAAAGGATAAAATTGTGAAAAAATAATTAATACTGTATGGGGATAATAAAATGACAGATAAAAGTACACTAAAGTAAATTTCTTAAACGTCATTTATAAAAAAGGGGAGGGAGTATTGAAATACAAACTACCCAACTCTACTCCATTTCCATTTTTATTTAAAATTTTAATAAAATTTTAGGATTGGCATCCTAATTTCATGTACAGGGATTTTATCCAAAAAATAAATAAATTTACTCTATTTTTCATATTCAAAATTTCTTATTTACAATTCTTTCTTTTTTTAACCGACCAACACAATACTATTGGGATTCTGGAGCCCAACACAGAAGCAGACAAAACCTTGGAAATGGGTCGATCTTCAGCATCGGTGGGCTGCACTTGGCGATTCCACACTCAGCTAACTATGATCGGAATTAATTTGTTCCAAGAATCCAAACCATTTAAAGAATACCAAGTATTTTTTTTTTACAGGAGAAGGATAAGATTAAAGAAGTAGAGAGGTTAAATCCAAAATTTCTAGTTCCTAGATTTTTAATTTTTTTTTATTTTTAACCTTCTCCACTACACGAAGCACAAGTACGCGTGAAAAATCAAATGAAGTACCTCTTCAAAAAAATGCTTTTTCTAAAAAAAAAAAAAAAATTTGGATTACTTTTTCTACAAATGAAGTATCCATCCAAAATAATGCTTTTGAATTGCCCTTTTCTACAGAAAAATTTTGCGAAAGCATTGTTCAATTATCTTTTTACCAGATAAATTTCAACTCGTTATAACACATTTTTCTACAAAAATTCTTAAAAACAGCCATCCAAACAGACTCGCTAGCGCTGCTAATTGACAGAATTTAATGCCTCCATAAGACGCTTGTTGCATTTACTTACTGGGCACTTAGATCTCTTGTATAGTCTCGTAAGAATGTTGATTTACAATGACTCCTGTAGACTGACAATCAATTTGTATAGATTCATAATGTTAAAGAAAGAATCTGTTACAGCAAAGCTTTGTGGTCCAAAGTCTGAAACATAGCACACCGCAAATACGGGTGGAAATTGAGATGTATTATGCTTATGTAATTCTATAGCAGTTGCAGGGTCTTTGTCTGATTATATAACAGTAGTGGCCACTACTTCTCCTGGTGGGGTGGGAGGTCAGGGTTCAACCCTTGCCTCTCACCCAAATTGTCTGCTCCTTATGGACAGCTCGGTTGGTTTCAATAAGTCTCTTTAGGAGCTGGTGTCCAGTGCCTGCAACGGCTGCAAGGATCCGAGTCCCGTGATTATCGTGTTCGGGGGATGGGGCCTCTCCTCCTGACCCGGAGTGGAATTAGTCGGGCCCTGTAAGGATTGACCCGGACACCCACTCCGTCAGAAAAAAAAAAAAAAAATGTAGTCAACATTATTGTGATATGATTAATCTCATTTGCCTTCTTTTTTTTTTTTTGGGGGGGGGAGGGGGGTTGGGGTTTGAAATCTCCATTACACATGCAATGACCTCCAAAAAAGGGGAATAAATGAAGCTGGAATGAAATTAAGGCTTAATGGAGCAAAACAGAATACGTTGGAATAATTAAAGAAGCTGTATCCACAATGACAAGTACGTGGTTCAAGTAGTGCAATGTGTAAAAGAAAATTCTGTTCATACTTTCGGCCTTAAAAAATATTTTTAAAAAATGGCAAATTACCACCAAGCCTTCTCTTATTCTTGAAGCACCAAAATTAGTGTTTGATGAATCCTTGAAGGAAAAATTACCTCACATCAAGTGTACACAACATATATATATATTTTTAATTTTCTCACACCTCTTTGCATCCTTCTCATCGCCAAATATCAGATAGAGAATACGTGATAGTAGAAAAGTTTTTAAGAGCTTTCCCCCAAAAACTTGCTTTTGGTGGGTAATTTCTCACAAAAACTAGTACATAGAGATTGAGATGACTACTCGGTGGCTGAACAATCAATTTAAAATCTCTATTCTTTTATGGAGAAGTAATTGGTGCTAAGAAATTGGCTTGAGTTCAAGATGCAGAAGGTAATCAAATCTTTCCTTTTTCATTTATCTAAGGCGCTCGTGCCTAATTCTTGGAAGTGCAGGGAGATAAACCAGATGGGTAATTAACAAACATTCAATATCTTAACAATGGTAAGTTTCCTTTTGTTTTTTACCCTCATCTTTTGGCAGCACAAAAAACTACTGTAAACAGAAAAGCGTTTAACAGTCTTAACACGAAAATTGCTTCTAGTAGTATCATAATCAACTGAAATGACGATTGAATGAAGTAATGGACAACAGGCTTTAACATGTCCAAAGCAGAGAAACCAAAAGGATATGTTAGAAAGGAAATGGTTTGATCCATGGATGTTGCAGGCATGTCGTCCAGAGCAGTGACAAGAAGGGCAGCAGTGTAGGTTAGGGACTAAACTAAACAAGCGTAAAAGTCCAACTAAACTCTGCTCAGATTCACGAGCCGTCTATCAGAAGAAGAGACAAAACAAACTGTTGATCCCCATGTGTAAGGACTGATAAACAAGGACTGATGAGGGCCTTCCTATCCTTCCTTCCCCTCAACCTCATGCCCCCTCCTCCTCCTCCTAAGCTTATTATTACTTACTAGTAAAAATAAGATGCAAATGTCGTCCATCCCCACATGAATCATCAGACACGAACTTGGACACCCGAGTATGAGTGATCAGATCAGCTCAGATCCTTGATGGCTTCGTTGCCCTCTCATCAGTCATGCCTCAATCCTCATCACCATTATTAGTATTATACCTTGTAGGACACCAGGGAGTGTTGTGTTATCATCATCAAAATCCATGCATATCTTCTTAGGGACTAAAAAATATCAATCCATGCATATCTACTTTAGTCTTAATTGATAAGATAAGTTCTTGCATTTCCTTCATCTTTTTTTTTTTTTTAAATTAAAAAAAAGGCCTTTCTGATTCCTGTCATTCTACTAAAATCAAGTATAGGAGTAGTACTGTGGTAGAATTTCCCATCTGATGTGTTTATGGAATCTAGTTTAAGCAGGATCAATTCTGATTAAATCTATCAAAAATATGAGAAATCCGCCCATTGAGCTTCTAGACAATAAATACTACTATTCTCATGTTGGCCTTCGGGACTGTAATACTCTGAGTTGTAGGAGACAATAGAAAGGCCAATTTTGTTTGACCAAATTTAGAGAATGTTACGAATATTTGGAAAAGAATAGATTGAAGTTCTTGATTGCTTGAAGGGATTTATTAATGTCATTTCACGTGCAGAGCGGCCCCTCAAAATTCATTTAACACCTTTATTTGAAATGTACATAATTTAAAATACCAAAATTCAATAAAGTCAATTCTTGAGAAATATTCTAGTCTGTTTTGTTAAATATTAGGATTATCAGTGTAATTTTATTGCTTATTTGTGTTGTTTAATTTATTAAATATGAACTTTTTGAGTAGTAAAAAAAGTGTATTAATTATTTTTTATTCTTTTATTAATACAACTTATATACATGTATACGGAATATTTATGAAATAAAAGTTTCATCTCTCTCCTTAAAAGTATTTTTTTTAATGTTACTTTTTTTAATTAGACTAATTTTATTATCAAGATCTTAATCACGGCCACGGGGAGGTTTATGCAATTTTGTAAACTTTAGTGGAAGTTAGTGATTAGCTGAAATTATTCCTTGAATCTTTTCCGGATTGTGACGGCCCCACCTCCCCCTAAGGCGAACCAGAGGGTTCGGCGGGCCGCCTGCCCAGCTCTCGCCGGGACTCAGTCGTTCACTACAATCCTCAAATATATTACAATATAACTCTCAAAATTACATCAAATTCTCCAATAATTACATATCACAAATGCAGCGGAAACTAATTCCAATCGTGGGATGTATACTTACATCCGTTTCAATTCCAAATATTGATACAAGCCCAACTCGTACATAAAATAAATCCAAATTTAAACTGTACACGATATAAGCCATCCAGTCACGTGAATAAGCACTCCAAGCTTTTCTTCGCCTTGAGCCCTGTGGGGGGGAAATAAAACATTTTTTGGGGTGAGCTAGAAGCTCAGCGACTAACCATTAAAATCAGTAATCAATTCAGTTTCACAGTCGTTCATTTCAGTGATGTCATGATTTCAAGATCAAAGGTACATTTATTGCTCTCGTGAGCCAGCGAAATCGTTGTACTTAAACACCCAACGCTCCAAACAAACATTAAACAGTAAACAGTCAGTGGGGGAGCCATTTGCTCCAGATGAACAGTACACAGAGGTGGAGACGTTGGTGTTCAGCACACGAATTCCAAGCACTCATTTAAGCCAAAACATGTCATGGGCCACATGCAAGCACTCATGATATGCAATCAAGTAAATAGTGCAATAAACGGTTCATAAGTAATTTTGGAAACAGTTTAGGGTCACTCACCTCCACGGCTCAGAAACCATCCATCATGTATCATTGCCTTGCTCAACTCCAAGCCTTAGATCACAAACCCAATGCAAACAAGTCCCTTCAAAGTT